TTATTTATAATTTTCAATCGGAATATTGAAACCTATTTACGCGACTCTATTGTATTTATTATACCTAGGTATTCGAAACTCGCTCTATAAACGTAGTTAATAGTCAAGTTGTAAAAACTTCGATTCATCTTCAAGACCCAAGAACACAACAAATATTTATACAAAGTACTTATTCAGCACAACTAACTATAACAAATTCGGTGCCGACTTACCTAGTTTAGTCTCGTATGCGCTTTTGGTTCGCGAACCCGAATACGATTGGTCAAGAGACAAGGAGATGCAACAATTATTTCCCTACTACAACGTTCATAGTCTCAGCGCATCCACATCCGCATACGTCGACCCTAGTTACCAAGGAGCTCAACCACTCTCGGAGCTCTCCTTCTAACATTTCATTGTCTGAGGTACTGTTGATTTGTGTCCTGTCATCAGCGAGATCTTGCGACGGGGCTTTTTCACATCTTAGACAAGGAAACCAACCTCATTCGTAGGGTGGAAATTTGCGCTTTGCGCTTACACGGCGATACAGCAGCTCGGGTCCTCCGGACATTGGTTGCGCCCTCTTAGTATTGTCTTGGACCTGGACCTTATGAAAGCTCTCGCGTCTCGGGCACTGCAGCCATTTTTATTCTCCACAGCTCCGAGGCTTGGCTTTATTATTATTCGTCTCGCTGGTCATCTAAAACCTAATCTACACTCATCTTCATTTCGTGCTTCAAACATCTTGCGCGCATTCTCTGGCCCCGCTCTCCCTCTGACTCGTCCGTCATCAAAACTTGCACAGCCCCACGGATTTCTATCCCAGCGTGATATCCGCGGTCGCAAAACTTATCTGCCACTGCTTTCTTTTCGAGTAGGAGAAGCGCATTGCGAGAGACGAGAACTTTTAGAACACAGCTACCAAAGTCATCGGGTCTTAAAGAGTCAAATCTCATCTGCGCTATATATTATACCCCTAGTCGTATTTGGCGCCTTTATACTTTACGACTCGATCCCATCTGGTTCGGAAAAGTATCTAGTTACCGAAGACAGCGCTGGAGATTACTCCGGCAAAGAGGTCGAAGTCGCCATGGAACAACTTCCAGGCAGACCGGGGAATCTGACCCCTGAACAGGAAGAAAAGTTGCGCAAGTTCTGGGAGATGTTCTTGCAGGTATGCGGCGTCCTTGGGGACGATGCCGCGGGAAATGATACGGAAACTGCTTCCGAGGCCGCGTCGCGAACAGGAACCAAGGAATCCGAAAAACCTAAGAAGAGTCGGATGTCCCTCTTCAAGAAAAAGAAGGATAAGGAAAAGGGGTCCACCACACCTACTAAGATTGCCGCAATGGAGTACATCAAAGAAAACGACCCGGAAGACAAATGGGGCGAAAATAAGTTATACCTCGAAACTCTAGCTACTCACCCTCCAGAGCAGATAAGAGCTACAATTTGGTCTATGGTAAAACATGACCATCCTGACGCTCTCCTGTTGCGATTTTTGAGGGCCAGGAAATGGGACTTGCAAAGGGCGCTTGTGATGTTGATGTCGACGATGAACTGGAGATGTACGGATGCCCACGTTGACGATATAATTATGGCTAAAGGTGAAGAATTCGCCGCCATCAACGAGAAGAGCGGGGATGCGAAGAGCAAAAAATTGGCAGAGGACTTCCTGGCTCAGCTGCGCATGGGAAAAAGTCATTGCTATGGCGCTGATAAGGCGGGGAGGCCCATCTGCGTCGTCAGGGCTCGCTTGCACAAGGCCGGTGAACAGTCGGAAGAAGGTCTTGAGTTGTTTACGGTTTACCTGATCGAAACGACGCGGTTCATGTTATCCCCTCCTGTGGATACTGCTGTGAGTGTTGCAATAAATTTGAAGAATCCAAAACTAATACTGGCAGTGCGTCCTGTTCGACCTGACCGGATTTTCATATGCCAATATGGTAAGCTGAAAAAATACCAAATCAGGCATGAATGAAGCTAACCTCTTTCAGGACTATACGCCGGTCAAGTTCATGATAAAATGTTTCGAGGCCAACTACCCTGAAAGTCTCGGGGTGGTCCTCGTTCACAAGGCCCCATGGGTCTTCCAAGGTCCGTCACTTCATGCACTATTCTTTAATTCATGTTCTAATCAAAATCTACAGGTATCTGGAAGATTATCAAGGGGTGGCTAGACCCAGTGGTCGCAAGCAAAGTACACTTCACAAACAACCTCAAGGACCTAGAAAAGTTCATTGCCACGGAGAGGATACCTACCGATCTAGAAGGCACTTCAGGTTATACTTACAAATATAAGGAACCGGTGCCGGGGGAGAACGCCAAGATGAAAGACATCGAGACTAAGGACAAACTCCTTCAGGAACGCGAGCTGCTATATGAGGAATACGAGACCAAGACGCTCGAATGGATCAACGAACTAGACGCCTCGAAGAGGGCCATTCTTCACGCGGAACGGGACACCGTCGCTAAGAATCTGAGGGAACAGTACTGGCGCCTGGACCCTTACGTCAGGTCGAGATCGTTCTATGACAGGGTGGGCGTCATCAAGCCCGATGGAGGCATCGACTATTACCCTTCCGCGACGGCCCCGGCCCCCACTAATGGGACGGCGGCGGCAGTCGCCGCGGGAGAGACGGCTGCTGATGACGTAGACTAATATCACCTAGATACCTAGTTAATGGGTCGTGTAGAGGGATAAAACAAAGACCAGGTGCATGGGAATGGGTAATTCGCATAGAATACGTACTGTATAAATATCATCAATTGGAACGACCGCGGGAATTTATAATTGCAACCTCACCCGTGAGATGCGTCATATTGCGAACCTTGACGTGCTTCAATATTGATCTTATCATTTTAAGTAGACAGCTAGGTACCTAAATATCTGTGACTACGAAGATGTCGCCGCTTTAGGCACAACTTATATCTAGCTCTTTGTTTCCGTGTAATTATGTAATTACACCTTGGGCTTGATGTCCTCGAACAGCGCCTTCAGCGCTGCCATGTCCGTCGGCTGCTGCGGCCAGCCTACGCCGAGTCCTTGCTCCTCGCTCGGCTTGGGTATCTGATGGATGTATCAGTAAAGCTCACGATAAATAGGTAGGTATATTAGTATTTTTTTTTTAAATGTGTTCTTACCATGTGGAAGTGAACCTGCATTAGAAACTCATAGTTAGCTCACTCATTACTCGCTTAAACTCATAAGTGAAGAGGCAAGACATGAATTAAACTCACGTGGTCGACGAGCTGGTGGGCGATGCGGCCGTTGTTCTGCAGGATGTTGAAGTCGACGGCGCCGGTGGCGGTGGCCAGCTTTTTGGCCACGGGCAGGATCTCGTTGAGTTGGTCGTCGGGGATGTCGGTTAGCTTCGCGCCGTGGAATTTGGGGATCACGAGCTGTGGGTATGAGAGGTGTGTAAGTAATTAAATACGTGTTACCCCTGATATATGGTGAAGCAGTCCTGGTATAAGGAGGTGATATGGTTGAGTCTTACAGCATGGCCCTTGCTCAAAGGGTTGATGTCGAGGAAAGCGAGGGTCTTGTCACTTTCGAAGAGCTTGAAGCAAGGGATTTCTCCTGTAGTTGTAGTGTTAGTTGATTATGTCTCATAAACACTAATACTGCCAATCTTATTTATGAATGAGCAATTGAAATATAAAAACGAAGCAGTCAAATTTATGATCGTAGCTTGAGCAACAGGAACATCACGAAACTGGAAACACTTGCCCTTAATGATCTTGCAGAAGATACAAGCAGCAGACATCTTGAGTTGCAGATACTTAATTAGGTTGAATAGGATGGAGACGTGGACCTTGATGGCACGTTAGATCCAGATATAAAGACGTAAGAAATATATTCCGTGTTTGTTACTCTCGTCAGATCAATGGATTATTAAACAGCTCACAGTTCAGTGTCGCAACTAGTTACAGCTTAAGACGTCACATATCAATGGAGGGGCTCGGAGCTACCCCGCTATCCGCCGGATAGGTCGGAAAATTGTCGGTAAGAGATGTTATCGCCATGTTTCTATATATTTCAGATCTAAGCAACGGTGGATTATGCGTAGGTCAAAGGATAGACTGATGCACGGCTGTCAATCATATATCGAATTATTTGAAACCTAATTGCATTGAATATGAGCAATTGCAGCTAAAGAGACATAAAAAAAGACAGATAGTGATCCAATTATCCTCAGTGAATAAGGATACCAAACCCTCGAAAGAAGAAAATGGGAAAGAGGATGGTTGCGCGAGCGACATGTTAAAACCCCAAATAAAAATAAAACCAACATCGATTCATACATGTCGATGGAAAGTGTAAAAAGGTGGTTGAGAAAGGGTGTAAAAAAGAAAAGCAAAAATTTTGTGTAGCAAAATTGAATCTGGAACTTCCAGAATAGTGTTTCCAAAGATTAGTGTAAAGGAGCTTTTTGGGTTACGCAAGGTTGAGTCAGGTAAAAGGCATGAGTCAAGTACTTTTATGCAATCCCGCTCCTGAAATTTTCGTGTCTTATTTGTACCTATAAGCCTTTTTGCAGCAGGGGTATTTCGGCCAATGAAAATTAGTGGTCAATGCGACCTGCACACCGAGCTGACCGAGCTGAACGGGCAAGTTGGTCAATGCTTCTTAGCTCGAGTTCTGCCCCTCGACTTAGGTTGGTTTTCACCTGGGCATTTACAACGAACGTCGAAATTCCCTCGGATAGTTTAAACACTCGATATGTAAGGGGACTCGACGTACATACGATGGGGCCTCACCCATTATCGAATATTTAGACATGAGTGCGATCCTACCAATTAATTAACTACCTATGCAGTCTATGAGTATTCTGCGCAATATCAGACACACCAAGTTTAAACTATTGGATTTGACTTGAAAATACCCCGCGCTGAAGCACCAACTTAATATATGTCTACTTAATTCTATAGATAGGAATAGAGGGTAAAAAAGTAATAGATATTTCAAACACAACTCTTTACAAAAGAGGTGATATTGAAAAAAGTAAATGCTCGCTAGGAGCCAGCCGGGATCGAACCGGCGACCTAAGGATTGATTTCTAGTATGCAACTGCAATCCTTCGCTGTAAATTGTTAGTTTGAGTGTCCGAAGAGACTTAGGTAGATGGGATAACTGACCTCTACCACTGAGCTATGACTCCGAATGATTGGTTGGAGTGGCGACTTCTAAAGTATACTATAAAGTAAAGACACTTAGTACGACCCAGTGGCTTGGAAAATTGAACCTGGCAAATAGCATTGCGAATACCTAGCTTACCAAAGGCCAGGTCATGCATTACTTGTCCTTAGGTAGGCAAAATAACGGGTATCGCTTACGGCTACGTTTTAGTAATAGCCGCATATTTTGGTTGGGAGAGAACCTTGAATCTAGTCGTGATAAAAACCCCCCCAAAAACTCGTGGAATAGGATTACATAGTTAGTTAGTTTAAATAGTTACTCAGTATGAATACAATTATGCTACATATAAAGCTAGCTACTAGCTAATACAATGACGTATGAGCATCAATTCCGTCTAGATAACCTTAAGAAAGATCTAGTAATAAAAAAGGAGCCGTAATATATACGGAATAGAGTAGCCAACGTAAGCATCAATAAAATATATTTCCATATAGGTAATTATACTTTTCTACGACCAAAGCCGGCCGATGTTGGTCATATAAACTCTCCCTTTCAGTCAGCTGGTATTTCCCAAAACATTTGATTCTACTGGACACGTCGTAACCCGTCATCATATCATATCATAGCAGACTAGTGACAAAATTCTAGCCATCGTCATATCCATATGTGTATAAAGCGTCATCAAGGGGGGCTGCGAGGCATCGCGGGACCGAGTCCTTCCAATCTCCAAGCCGCACCGCCCGCCCGCAGCCCCGAAAGCCCCAAAACTCCTCCCAAAGAAAACGTTCGTGGTAACTAGGTATTACTTTACTTTACTTTACTTTACTTTATTTCACTTTATGATAGGTATCCCCTGCGCCTTAAGAAACTCCACGGCGTCGTCCATCCCGAACGGCGCGTTGAACCAGTGCCCGCCGTCGGGGTACTCGTGCCACTTGACGTCCATGCCGAAGCTCTCGAGCCCGTCCCGCAGCTGCTGCCCGTACTCGATGAACACGAGCGGGTCGTCCGAGCAGTGCCCCAGGAACACCGGCGTGTTCTTTACTATCTCGTCGCTTTTGCTGTCCAGAAGCTCGCCCTCCAGCCCCAGCACCTCCCTCGTCTCGTCGAGCGAGCCGCCCGGAAACGGTAGCCAGGCCGAGAACCCCATGAGCCCGCACAGCCGCGGCCGCAAGTCCTCCACCCGCGCCACCGTCCCCGCATTCGCGCTTTTCTCATCTTCGCCCTCACCCTCCTTCTCCCCCTCAAACTCGCCCAAATGCAGCAGCACGTGCGCGGCCGTCGCGCCGCCCTGGCTAATGCCCGCGAGCACGATCTTATTCAGCCCGCCCACGGCCTCGGCCTCCCTGAGGACGACGCGGCGCACGCTCTCGACGCTCTCCTTGAGGCCGAAGGCCTGCAGCTCCTCGCGGTCGGTCATATCCAGGATGTTCCAGATGTCGAACCACTGGGGCCAGTGGTCGCCGGTGGTCTCGACGAGGCTCGGCTCGGCCTGGGGGAAGACCCAGCGCACGCTCGGGAACTCGTCCATGAGCGTGCGGCCGCGCGAGTCGCGGCTCCACCGCAGCAGCGCGTCCGCCATGTTCTGCGACGTGTCGCCGCGCCCGTGCAGGAACACCACCGTGTGCGTGTGCGGGTGCGACGTCAGCGGCGCCACCACCGAGCAGCCGAGCTCCATTGCTTTTCTTTTCTTTTTCTTTCTTTTCTCTCACCGGTTTCCCGATTCGCTACTAGGTTCCTAGGTACCTATTCCTAGTTCGCGATTCCCTGCTCTGTTTCTGTTTCTGTCCTGTCCTGTTCTATCCCCCGGAGTAAAATGTCTGGGTGCCGAAGTAGATATGTATGTATTTGACCAAGGTAAAGGTGCCGTGCCCTGTGCAGGTCAATCAATACCCTGGTTATGTATGTAGGTACCTTGTGCTAGGTAGGCAAGGTTTGTAGGTGGCTAACCTACCCACCCCAATCAGGTAGCGGCGCGCGACGGGCAACGAGACGCAGAATCGGGATAGAAGGAGAAAGAGAAGAAAGAGGTGTGAGATAAATAGCTTGGCATGACTCAGCCCCCTCTTCGCGGAATCTAATTAAAAAAAACCTCAAATGCGCAACTTCAAAAAAGGTTGCGGCGAGGGTTTGTTTATTGTTTTTTCGATGATCGGTTACTAGGTAGGTATCGTAAGGTACCTAAGGTAGATGGGTCTATGTAAAATTGTTGTATGTAAGACAGGTATCGAAAAGGGTGCCGGCCGGCTGCGACCTTATAGTTTTGGGTCCATGTTGTCCATAGGATTCGCTTATCCCGGTCCTGTGCGCCTTTGCCAAGCCGGAAGACCACGGAGATCGTCACAAAGACGAGATTTTATATATGTACGCTTAAAACATTGATATACATCTATCGAAGCAGTAAGTTATTAGCCAGACTAAAAGGGGTTAATCAATCAATTGGGTGAGATAGACATCATTAAATGGGGTCCTGTGGTAAGCTGTATAGTGGCGAGTGGAAGGAAATCATTAATATGCTAGGCTTCTATAGGTTAGTTATTCTCTATTAGAAATATGTACCTAAGGTAAGTAGGTACCTATTCAGGAGAAAGGGGCATTTGAAAGTTAATCGAACTTAAGTGACTTGATCAAAATGATTTATTGACTCTATCTATTTACGTGTATGCCTGAGATTCTATAATTCATCCTTCTTCGTTCTCGGCTCAGACTCCTCTTCAAGCGTTCTACTCTTAGTGTTCTTCTCCTCACTACCGGCTGTAAGCACCTTCTGAGTGTCACTTTCTGTGATCAAGCCTCTTCGTTTTCGGTCTACTGCCGCGATCTCGTCATCGTACACTGTCCACTCCGGCACTTGCCTTCTAGCCCGGTCGAGTTTTGGCTCCTTGGTTTGTGGATTGTTGCATAGATCGATGGTTCGCGCCTCTTCCTGGCTCTCGTCACTGCACCACGTCTCGCACCATAACCACTCTTGGGGTAAGCTGTGGATCGGGATGACGAACTGCATATGATTTGGCAAGTCTTGATCAAGATTGGAGAGGGAGGCTGGATCGGCTGATAATTGGTGGTAGTGCTGTCGGAGCCTGTCGCCGGCTGCAAGTTGCCTGAAGCGGCGAAGGTCAACTACGTAGAGAGCCGAGATGTGGTATGGATTACCACGGAGGTAGTTCTTCCAGTACCCTTGTTTCCAGAAGCGGAAGCCCTCCATCTCCGTCCGAGAATCGCACATGGGCGTGAAGCCGTAGGGGGCGCCTTCTAGGTCGAGGTTGACAAGGCTTATCATATCCGTCCTGACAATCTGATCCGCATCGACGAAGATGACCTTGTCGAGCGACAGAGGGAAGAGGACATCGAGGAAAAGGATCTTGTAGCCCCAAATCTCACGCTGTTTCTCTCTTTGGTGGCGTAACCAATGCGGCCATTTGTACGTAACCATCTCATATTTGAAGCCATATTCTTTAGCCAGGTGAGGGATGAAATCCTTGAAGGACGGAGATAAGAATTGCTCAATGAACCAAAATTTGACTGTGTGGTTTGTGTTCTTCATAACAGACACCATCATGATATTGAGCATGCGTTCGTAAAGGTGACCGCTTGCCACAGAGAAGATATTGATCTCGGCATGTACTTCATCTGAGACAGACTTGGAATTGGACTTTGATCCACCGAGAATGCCTTCGGCAAACTTAAGACCGCGGGAAAGGATATCTCCGCCAGTGTCCGTACTTTCTTCTAGGACATCTTCGAGCTCCATGCCAGGCTTCCGCTGAAGCCGTGGGTATAATGTCGTGCCTTGGAAGTCTATGAGAGCAACTTCGGTACCTTCATCGCCCGGGACAGCGTTATATCCTTTTGCACCCACGCTGATGATATCAAAAATCTCCGAACTTCTCCCTTCTTTGAGATGGATATTGTAATAACCGGGGTTGGCTTTAAATTGGAAGTATCCAATATTGGACATGATGATTGTATCATCAAAATGGGGATCGCGCTCGGTACCAAGCAAGAGTTGCACGCCACGGGGAGGACTGCTTGTGCTTTCTCGGGAGTGACCTTCGATAAGAATATGCTCCAGTTCGTAGGTGGCGTCAACGTCCGCTTTAATGGAGCTTAGCTTCAGATTGTCTAGGTCGTAAACAGAGTATTTTGCTGCTACTAGCCAAGCAGGTGGTACATCCATGCCTAGGTTAAGGAGTGCTTCAGAAGGAATTCCTTTGAAGGTAGCACCCAGAGGGCTGACCTTTCCGGATTCATCAAAAGACGGTGCTGAGTCCAGTATATATCGGTAAAATCTTTTGACGGGAAGGTCTTCGAGCTTCTCCTTCGGGTTTAAGAAAACTCGCATGTAAACTCCATCTAACTGGGATAGAACCTTGAGTATAGGAGCCCATTTCTGTCCTACCTCGCTGGCGGGATTGATCATGGCAACAAAGTGGATGTTTGCTGTCGAGGCATCGCCCACATCGATCATTGTATGGGATGAGTTCCACTGGTCATAGATAGTGGTTCTTAGAGTCGGGGCGGACTCGAAAATCCCCTCGGGTAGATCTGATATAGTAGATAGAGCCGTGACCGATGTAAGCTTAGCAGCAGCTAGCGGACCCGAGATCTTGTCTGCTAGACCTAACGCATCTACTGCTTTATACACCGGAAGTATTCGCGCCCCTTGTTCAAATTCGAGAAGCAGCTCGAAGTCACTCTCCCTGAATACAGAGTTGGCAGCAAATGGGCCGACTACACGTCCGTTCAAGATGAGTAGCTGGGAGCCCGGAGCGAACGCGGCAGCTGTCAAAAACCGTGACAACGCAGCATTATATCCCTCATCCCGCACATCGATCGTCCCTGATAAAAGTATTTCTAGAGCCTCTAAATCTTCGACTTCTAATAGCTTAGCCACATCCTTCTTAAGTAGCGCGTTGATTTCGTGTGCATTGCTAGATGATGGGGGATTATTGACGATATCAAGACGCACTCCGGGGTTGTTGCGTCGGAATGATAAAGCTGATAACAGAAGATGGAGACCCT